CTACCCAGAGACACCTCCAGAAGAAAGGTCTGGTGATCTCTTATAGAAAAAAGCAGCCACTGAAAACGCTATGGAACACAGTTCTACTCTGACACACATGGGGTCATCGTGAGTCAGAGTTGACTCGACAGCAACTGAATGAATTGTTTCAAGTTCCTGGCAGGTGGGAGGCACTTTGAAAACGCTGGCCCTTTCCCCTTTCTGTTCTTCCATGTCACTGTATCCTTGATCCACCTGCCACATCCTAAAACACAACTTTTGTCATGCTATTCCTCTTGTCAGAAACCTGCCATGGCTCCCTGTTGCCTGGTAAACTAAATACAGGCACTTTTGCTGGGCATTCAGTGCTCCATTCCCAGACTCTAATTTTCTCCCCATTCCTTATTTATTCTCCCCGTTCCCCATTCCATATATTTGATATGTCAGTCAAATTCACTTTTATTTTTTAATTAAAAATTTTTTTTTGCAGTGTTCCTTCCCCTCCCCTCCCACTCTGGTAACCAACAAAGAAAGCTTCCTTCCATATATAAATCTTTCCTTGACTTTTTACATTAACGAACTAATACTATATTTGTCTTTCTGTTATTGAATTCTTTCACTCAGCATAATGCCCTCCAAGTTCATCCACGTTATGTGGTGTTTTGCAGATTCTGCATTATTCTTTGGGAACTCTGGTAGTGTCGTGCCTAAGCTACTTGACTGCTAACTGGAAGGCTGGCGGTTCAAACCCACCAGCCACTCCTCAAAAGGAAGATGGGTCAACCTACTTCCGTAGTGATACTGCCTCAGAAACCCAAGGAGGGGTCACTATGAGTCGGGTACGACTTGACGGCACATAATAACAACAACAACCACAACAAAATTATTCTTTAGTTGGATTGTATTCCATTGTGTGTATGGTCTATAGTTTGGTCATCCATTCTTCTGTTGAGGGGCACCTAGGTTGTTTCCATCTTTTTGCTATGGTAAATAGTGCTGCGATGAACACGGGTGTGTAAATATTTATTCTTTTCCTGGCTCTCACTTCTTCAGGATATATACTTAGTCATGGGATTGCTGGATCAAATGGTATTTCTAATTCCAACTTTTTAAGGAATCACCAAAATTCACTTTTATGACTTAAGGAGTCACCAAAATTCACTTTCATGACTTAAGGAATCACCAAAATTCACTTTTATAACCATACTGCCACTTCTTTATGAAATACAATCTTTTACTTCAACGCCCCATCAAAGCCCCTCTCAAGTACTATTGCCGTCATACTGTGAAAGTTCATGAAGCTACAATCTGGAAGGGATTTTTTCCAGTCTGCAAGGTCACTGTATTTGGAGGAGGCAGCATCATGCCCAGAGAGCCCAGGTTCTCTGCCACATACTGTCATCCTGGTAATGCTCCCTAACATCTGTGTGTCAGTTTTCCCTGTAAAATAAGGGTAATAATAATACCTACCTCATAGTGTTGTTAGGAGCTCTGTTTGCACAATGGTTAAAGCATTGGGCTGCTAACAAAAAGGTCTGTGGTCTGAACTCACCAACAGCTCCATGGAAGAAAGATGAATCAGTCTACTTCCTTAAAGATTGACAACCTTGGAAACCCTATGGGACGGTTCTACTCTGTCCTCTAGGGGTGCTATGAGTCGGAGTTGACTCAATGGCAGCGGGTTTTATAGGGTTGTTGCGAAGATTAAATAAGATACAACATGGGAAACACTTTAAATAGTGCCAGGCTCTTAGAGAGCTTGAATCCATTTCTATAATTGTAGGCATAAATAACTGACATTATTTTACCATCAAAAACCAAACTTACTGCCGTCGAGTTAGATCTGTTTCATAGCGACCCCTCCTTGGGGTTCAAAGGCGATATCACTACAGAGGTAGATTGCCCAATCTTCCTTCTGACTAGTGGCCAAATTAAAAGCTGTCTGAGTCACATCAGAAAGAGATGTGGACTAGAAACCAGGGATTCTAGTAGTGTCTCCACTGCTAACCCAGCTGTGTAATGTTGAATATGTTATTTTGCCTGTCTGCATCTTACTTCATTCAGCTGCAAAAACTATGGGGGTGGGCAAAAGTCTCTGTGCTCTCTTTTGTTCAAGTAGCCAGGTGGATGTCTACAAAACTACAACAGAACTCCTGATTTCCACTCCTAAGCACTTGACTATTAGCCAAAAGGTTGGTGGTTTGAACCCACTCAGAGATGCCTCAGGAGACACACCTTGGGCTCTATTTCTGAAAAGTCAGAGCCATTGAAAACCCTCTGGAGCACAGTTCCACTCTGCACACATGGCATCATCATGAGTCTGAGTCAACTTGATGGTAATTGGTGCTGGTCTGGGTTCCCCACTGGAGGGGGCAGGGAGGTGAAGTTAGAACTATGCTCACTACCGTGAAAAGCTTTGGTAGGCTTTACTTGATTCCCAAGAGTTTGCAGGGTGCATATGGTTAAGCATTGGACTATTAGCTGAAAAGTTGGCAGTTCAAACCCACCCAGAGACACCTCGGAAGACAGGCCTGCCAATCAGCTTCCTGAAAGTCATAGCTTTGAAAACCCTGTGGAGCAAAAGTTCTCTGCACATGAGTCAGAACCGACTGGATGGCAGCAAACAGCACACATGCTGCTCCCCTTATTTTCCCCCACCTCAGGAAATGGCACTACCATCTTCCCAGTTTAAGTACAAAACTTATGAGTTATCTTTGAATTAACTATTTCTCTCATCATCTAATGCTAACTCATCTGCAAACCCTATTGGTTCTACTTCCAAAACGTATCATGACTCCATCTACTTCTCCCTGTGGTCACAATTACAGCCCTGGTCCAATCATCTCTTGTCTGTGCTGTGGTCATAAGCTCCTGACCGGTCTTTCAGCTTTCACTTCTGCCCTCTTTTAGTCCATCTATTTTCCACAGAGTCAAAGTGATTTTTCAAATATAAATCAGATAATGCTGGAAGACAGGGCAATCTACTTCAGTAGAGATAGCACCTTGGAAACACAAGGAGGGGTCACTGTGAGTCGAATCAATTTGACAGCAGTGAGTTTTTTTTTTTTTTTTTTTTTTTAAACTCCCTGCTTAAAACTCTATAGTGGCTTTTTGTCACATTTAGAATGAACTCCAGACTCCTTAGCCCTTGCATCCCATTTTCTTTTATGCTTCAGTAGCACTATCTTTTTTCTTTTTCCTGATAACTCACCAAACCCATGTCTGCCTTTGGGCCTTGTTTTTGTTGTGTGTCGCAGAGCTGATTTTCGACTCATGGTGACCCCGTGTGACAGAGTAAAATTGCTGTAATCTTATGGAAAGATCACTGGTGGTGCAATGGCTAAGCCCTTGGCTGCTAACAGAAAGGTCTGCAGTTTGAACCCACCAGCGGGTCTGTGGGCTAAAAGACTGGGCTCTCTACTTCTATAAAGATTAAACAAACAAACAAACAAACAAAAACCAAATTCACTGACCTCAAGTGGATTCTGACTCAGAATTTTGGCCAGGGAAATGACATGATTCAGAATCTTTTTTTTTTTTTTTAAAGAATTACCTTACAGACTGGGTTTCCAAGGCAGTATCTCTACAGAAGAAGATTGCTCAGTCTTCTTTCTGAGGAGTGGCTGGTGGGTTTGAACTGCCAGCCTTCTGATTAGCAGTCAAGTGCCTTAGGCACTATGCTACCAGAGCTCCCATCCTAGGAAACCCTAAAGGGACAGTTCTACTCCATCCTTTAGGGTGGCTATGAGTCTGAATCAACTTAATGGTAATGGGTGTGTTTGTAATCATTACAGAAGCAGTCGGCCAGGTCTTGTCTTAACTGTTGTGGGGTTTGAACCAAGAACATGTTAGCAGCTAGCAGTGGAGGGCTAAACCATAGTGCCACCAGAAGCTCATATGTTTGAACTGGAAATACGGCTGTGACTAAAACAAAAGTGATACAGTCGTCCAACTGCCTTTTTCTAACTTCCTAAAGAAGCTCCGCTGGCATAGTGCCTAAGGCATTTGACTGCTTACCAGAAGGTTTGTGTTTCAAACCCACTAGCCACTCCACGGAAGGCTGACTGGGCAATGTACTTCCCTAAAGGTTTACCGCCTGGAAAACCCAAGGGAGATAGCTATGAGTCGGAATTGACTTGATGGCAGTGAGTTTAAATAGTTCTCAAGTTGACACTTATCTCCAGCTCCTCTCCCACATTGTCGTTTTTTGCCTGGGCTAAAATGCATTGCCTCCTTTTTGATCTATTTCCTGTCTGGTCTAATCTTCCACTAATCTGTTCTTCAGATTGCAGCAGTCAGTTTCTCAGTATCTTTTGTATCGGAGCTTGAAAACTTTCGGAGTTTTCATTGTTCTCACGATAAAGCCCAGATTGGCCATGGTCCACTCTCTCCTGTCCGGTCAGCCCTTACTCGCCACTCCATGCTTTTTCTCCCTCCACCGCCTGGTTCCCGCCGGCCCCCAGCTCTTGCCCAGGCCTTCCAGCTTCCTAGAAGTTTCCACCCAGTCAGTACCCATTTCGCCTACTTCTTTGGATCTCAAGTGAATGCCCCTCCCTCTGGGAAGCCCTCAAGATTAGATCAAACTCTAGCCTCCATTATACACCCCACGCCACCAAGGGCCTCTCCTTCAGAGATCTTGTTTTATAAGTATATCCTCATGAGTGCGATTGCTTTATTAATTAGGTCAATGGGAGCTTGTGCTGAGTAGCTGTTCGCGGAAGGAATGCACCGACGCCTTTCCCGCCCCTCTCTCTCTCTCTCTCTCTCTCTCTCTCCCTCTCCCCCCATCGCCCCTGAGGCTGCGGCGCACGATGACGCGCTAAGCCGGCGCCATAGGCGCAGCCGTCATAAGGCGCCTGCGCGAAGGGGCACGCATGCGCAAGAGGGGAGCCAGCTGACATTCGCGGCGGCGGCGGCGGCGGCGGTGGCGGCGGCGGCGGTGGCGGTGGAGGCCTTGGGCTGCGGGGAATGGGCATCTTAGGGCCCTGAGTGAGCACCGCCCCCGCCTCCCTGCCACCGACATGGCTCAGGAGAAGATGGAGCTGGACCTGGAGCTGCCTCCTGGTGCAGGCGGGAGCCCAGCAGAAGGTGGTGGAGGGGGCCTGCGGAGGTCTAACAGCGCCCCCCTGATCCACGGCCTCAGTGACACCTCGCCGGTGTTCCAGGCCGAGGCGCCGAGCGCCAGGCGGAACAGCACAACGTTCCCGAGCCGCCACGGCCTGCTGCTGCCCGCCTCGCCTGTCCGCATGCACAGCAGCCGCCTGCACCAGATCAAGCAGGAGGAGGGCATGGACCTCATCAACCGCGAGACGGTGCACGAGCGCGAGGTGCAGACCGCAATGCAGATCAGCCACTCCTGGGAGGAAAGTTTTAGCCTGAGTGACAACGACGTGGAGAAGTCCGCCTCCCCGAAGCGAATCGATTTCATCCCGGTGTCACCGGCGCCGTCGCCCACGCGGGGCATCGGAAAGCAGTGTTTTTCACCATCCTTGCAAAGTTTTGTGAGTAGCAATGGATTGCCTCCCAGCCCCATTCCCAGCCCGACGACGCGATTTACGACCCGGAGGAGCCAGAGCCCCATCAACTGCATTAGGCCAAGTGTTCTTGGACCATTAAAAAGAAAATGTGAAATGGAAACTGAGTATCAGCCAAAGAGATTTTTCCAGGGCATCACCAACATGCTTTCGTCTGACGTTGTACAGCTGTCAGATCCCAGCGTGTGTGTATCTTCCGAGACCCTGGATGGAAACAGCAGCAGTGCCGGCTCTTCCGGGAACTCACCAGCGAAAGTCAGCACGACCACCGACTCTCCTTTGTCGCCTGCCCAAGCAGCCTCCCCATTTATCCCCGTAGATGAACTTTCATCTAAGTGACGTTACTTTTTGCAATGGGGAGCGAAAAAAAAAAATCAAGTTGGAGCAAGCTCTGAACTTTTGTTGATTAATTTGAGGCTGTTTCCTATTTGACCCTTTTCCTTTTTTGGAATTTTCCTGCGATGTTGTCATTCTAGAGAACGTCTATGTGCAGTTCCTGCGAATGCCCTTGAATTCAGTGTAGTAATATTTTTAGACGTTTTCCCAATAACTGTGTGGAAGCATCCATCTTTACGCTGCTAATATGCCTAAATACATATGTTATCCCTTGATTTTTTAAAATAATTGAGAGCTCTATTTATTTATTGGATTATTAAGTTCTGATGAAAATATAAGTGTTCAATTAATCAGCATAGTACACTGATGTTTTAAAATTCCGTATTCCATGCTCACACGAATTTTTAATGTTATTTGCTAGTTTCCACTTGATAAAGAACAATAACTTACCTATTTTAAACTCTTTTGCAGATAGGCTAGGTAGAACATACCAGTCCAGTGACTGTCTGATTTTACCCAGGAATCCTCAGATACTTAGTTTTCGGGGTACAGAAGTGGATGGGAGGGAGATGATAAAAAAAAGAACAAAGTGTAAAAGTTGGCAACAAAACTTAAATACATGCAAGTAAACCTGTTTAAGGAAAACGTTTTCTAATGAAATTTGAATAGTAATTCTAAGTTATGCAAATACCACTACTATACAGAAAATTACATTTTCTCTTTTTGACCAGAAAGTGCATTCTTGGGTATAATCCTAAACTGAGATGGGACAGTGCCTTGCAGTCTTAGGCTCTTTGAACCACTGCAAACTTAGACGTTTTTCAAAGGTAGGAAATGTGTGGGAAGCCCCCAGGCAGACAACACTCTCAATGGTTGATACCCTTTAAAACATCTAATTGTGGCTCGGTTCTGGAGACCCTTGCCAAGAACTTTGCAAGACCCAAAGCCACAGTGACTTTTGGCTCCTTTTCTGCTCTGCCCATCTGTTACCTTCCTCATCTTCCCTTGCTTAGGAAGGAAGCAGCTTTTTCCTTGCCAACAGGTCCTTCCTCTCCACTTCCACCACACTAGGGCACTGGACAAAGGTCCAGTGTGACTTGGGATTTTTGAGTCTGGAATTGTCAGGAACCTGTGGTGGAAGCTGCAGCAGCTGGAGTTACTACTTTGGGGATGCCTGTTGAATAAGGGTCAAGGACTTGCAAGAGAAAATCAGTGGAGAGTCACCTAGGTAAATCCTTATTTGAATTTAGGTTTTGTTAAAGGTAGAATTGTGGAATGTGCTTTTCTTTGCCTTTTACAGTGAAAACAATATCAAGATATTTAATAAGAATGACAGATGTTTTTATATTCATTAACTGGATGGATTGAGTGGCAGACGAAAGGGGTGGGGGTGGGGGGGCAGAAGGCTCAGAGACCAAGACAGAAACTCCAAATTATTTTTTTAGGTCATTGCCTTCAGAGACTTTAACAATTATGTGGAATTTTTACAACAATGAGAATAAAAGAAACTGGTCAACTCTTGATAGTTGCCTCAAGGACTCAGTGAAATCTCGCCGAGGGTAAGGCTGTGTCCACGAGCCTAATGTTTTCTATTCTGGAGAATCATGTACTCTGGCCCTGACCTTGTTCCTCATATTCACACCAGCTCATCCAACTTCCTGTCGAACACCTTGGCCTACTCCTAGAGGCACTTTGGCCTCAGCATCTTCAGAATTCCTTGTCTTCCCACTTAGCCTCCTTCTGCATTTACCTGTATGGCCATCACCAACTCTCTCGTTTCCTGAACTACAAAGCATGGCTGCAGCTTTGACTTTTCCCTTTCCCCCATCAGCCACATCCAGCTTAGTCACCAAGGCCTGTGAGCTTCCTTCTGAAGTGACTCTCAAGTTACCCCTCTATCTCTTTTGCACCTTGTTTAGCTCCTGGCCTTGCAGTAGTTGCCACAGTGATCCCCCAGCCTGTCTTCTGCCTCCCTTCTGGTTAATATTCAAACCGCCTCTAGCATAGTCTAAGATAAAACCTTCGTTTCTCCACTCCCCTGCTTAAAAACTTTATGCCCTTCCCCACTGCCCAGAGTTCAGGGGATGATTTCTTTGACGTAGTGTCAAAGGTCCTTCAGGATCTGACCTTATCTAAATAAGCTTCATCCTCTGCTTGTCTGTTTCCCCAAACATGTTCCCTTCTTAGTCTGTAGATGCCAGATACTTTTTCAGTACACCCTTGTACTTTGATGTGATTGAGCCTTTGAACAGGCTGTTACTTCCCCAAAATGCCATTCCTGTCCTCAGCCAGAGAAATGTGCTGTTTCATTTAGTTGCACATGGATTTTACTATGAAAGTAATGTATACTTGCTGATTATGAAATATTTAAACAGTGCAGCTGTCTTTTATAGTAAACTGTGAAAGTCTCCCTTTTCTATGTAAAATTCATCTTGCCTTCCTAAAGGTAACCTCTGTTAACAATTTGTTGTACAAGATGGCTGCTCTGCATTTCCATGTATTATAGGAGCCTTGGTGGCACAGGGGTTAAGCACTCAGCTGCTGACCAAAAGCCTGGTGCTTCGAACTCATCACTGGCTCTGTAAGAGAATGAAGTGACGATCTGCTTCCATAACGATACAGCCTTAGAAACACTGTGGGGCAGTTCTACTCTGTCCTGTAGGGTACCTGCAGGATACCAGCATATCATTCTTGACACCTTTCTTTCCTTTCCCCATGTCGAATACATCACGAAGTCTTAACTGAATTCTAGAATTCATCTCCTTCCTTCCATCTCTACTACCACCGTGGCCCAGGCTACTGTCATTTTCCTCTGAGGCTTCTGAAGTGCCTCCTAACTTCCACCTGTCCCTGTCACAATCTCAGGTCTGCTGCCCACTCATTCTCCGTACAACAGCTAGCAGAGTCCTCATAAAATGCTATACCTGATCCTTCTAGCTCTTAGCTTAAAGCTTTGCAGCTGCTTCCTGTTGGTCATGTGGTATTCAAAACTGTGCTAATGTGGCCGAGGAGACCCTCTGGTATCTCGCCCTTGCCTGTCCCTTCCCTTAGTTTCTTCTCCTTAAACAGATCCTGTTCTCTCCTATTTCAGGTCCTTTTCCCTGAAGGCATAGAGTAGCCTTCATTTCTGTAAGTTTATTTTCCTGTATAAGGAACTCTGGTGGTGCAGTGGTTAAAGCTTTGAGCTGCTGACCAAAAGGTTGACAGTTCAAGTCCTCTAGCCACTGTGCAGGAGGAAAATGCTGGCAGTTTCTTTCTGTAAAGATTACAGCTTTGGAAACCCTATGGGGCAGTTCTCTGTCCTATAGGGTCACTATGAGTCAGAATTGACTTGATTACCATGGGTTTTGGGTTTTTATTTATCTATATAGATGGTAACTTTTAAATCAGATGAGGTGCTAAACATTTATATGGACAATCTACACTATCTTATTTTTGGTTGTTACATCATTCCTCGGGAATGTAAAGACCTATCTCATGTAAGACATATCCTTCAAAACACATTTTTAAGGTATTAGTGTTGCTGATCTATCAACTTCATATTAAGAAGTCCCCAAGTAGAGATCAATGCTTAGTTAAATTATAGTTTGTCATATATAATAAACCTTTTTGGCATATTTTCTTTTATGATTGTTAAAAGCACAGTGTAAATGGGGAAAACATAATGATCACAGGTGGAAGTGCTGGCTGACAGAGCCCTAAAGCCAACTTGGAAGAATGCATGCAATCCAGAGTCACCTGTGTCAGGTGCCTGCCAGCAATGCCCTTTCATTAGCTCAGCCACACCTACCACAAGGGACCGCTCTGGAGAGATTTGGCAGTAAAATGGGAGAAAAGGCAAGGCTTGCAAGGGAAACAGGACTGAGAGTATTTTTTCTTATCAGCATGTTTCTAGGTTAATAGAAAAGTTGGAAGATCCAAGAGACAGGTGGGAGATGGGAGATTAATTGCCAGAACAACAAACCAAAGGCAGTGTAACTCACATTGACAGGATAAGATCAGAGAAGAAAAGGAGGAGTTGGCCTTGGAAAAGAGGTGTGGGTGCATTTTACCCCTTCGGAAATAAGAAGAAGATTGAAATGGCTAGGAAAAGATACCAGTAAATGTTGAACTGTTTTACTACTGCAAGGGTGTAGGGCTGTGAAAGTATATAGAAAATGGAATTTGTATCTGACTGCTTCTGTTTTCCAATAATTGAAGAGTCTAGGATGTTTGAAAGGAACCTGGTTGTGAATGGTTAAACATTTTGCTAAGCAAAAAGTTGGCATTTCTAACCCACCCAGTAGCTCCCAGCAGAGAAAGAGACCTGGTGATCTGCTCCCATAAAGATCACAGCTTAGAAAACCCTATTGGGCAGCTCTATTCTGTCACAGGTGTTGCTGTGAGTCCAACTTGTCTAGACAGCACCCAACAACAACAATGGGATATTTGAGGGTGGGGGCAGTAGTAAATTTGGAAGCATGAGTGAAATTAAAGTTTAATGTTACTTGTATTAGAATCAGTAGTCCCTGGGCAGTGCAAAGGGTTAAATGCTGACAGAAAGGTTGGTGGTTCAAATCCACCTAGAGGCAACTGGGGAGAAAGCCTATCTATTTCTGAAAGATCAGAGCCGCTGAAAACCCTTTGGACTGCAATTCTACTCTGACGTGCGGTCACTGAGAGTCAGAGTCAACTCTGTGGCAACTGGCTTTTGTTTTTTTTCTATAAAAATCTGTTACCCCCCCCCACACACACACACGCACACAATGAATCTGTTACAGGATGACTTAAAGGTGAGTAGAAAGATTATTATGCTCATTACATGCTAGGTGCTAGCTAGATGGCAGGAGCAAAGATGTTGGACTGGCCTAGGTTTGGGGATTGGCTAAGGGAGTTCGAGGTAAAGTCCAGTGTGTGGAGTTTGAATGATTGACTGGGCATTGAGGATGCTAAGAGAAGTCAGCACAGGGTTATGGGCTGGGCAGCTTTTCTCAAGAAGTTCACTTTATACTCAGCCCGTGTCA